GGGGGTGGGTGTGGGGGGGGGGGTGGGTGTGGGGGGGGGTGTGGGTGTGGGTGTGGATGTAGGTGTGGGTGTGGGTGTGGGTGTGGGTGTGGATGTAGGTGTGGGTGTGGGAATAATCGAACATAAGATTGGATCACAGCCACAGCCACAGCCACACACTAACACCCACATCCGCACCCATACCAAGACGCACACCTGCCCACACCCACACCCCCACCCACACTTACAGCCACATCCACACAACCACACCGACACCCACACCCACACCCACACCCACACCCACACCCACACCCACACCCCACACCCCACACCCCAATAACGACGAACAAAGCCATTGATTAATCGGATATCACCGAAAATTTGGCTTTCTATTTTCAAATATTTGTACGAACTAGAAGTTCAGCATTTAGTCTGTGCTGTTTCGGGGTGGGTGTGGTTATGAGCTTTGCTGTCAAAAAAGCCATACCCACACCCAGCCCATAGCGTTTTATTATACTATCAAGTGTTGATCTTTTAAAATCGTTTAGCACAAAACATTTTACTATATTACTTTTTTTCAAATTATTGTTTTTTGTTCAACCATAGAATAAACACGTTGGTGAAGATCAATCATTTTCACAACAAATGATAAAAGGAAAAAGCTTCAGTTAATAGTACAGATCAAATAGAGGATAAATTAAGCTATGTAACCCAGTCAGACAAAAATTTTGAAAAACGCGTTTAAACGCACAATCGGGAACCGCGACTGTAATCCATTAACGCTCATTAAATAAACGCACGAAAACGCGTTTATTGGCGTTTTTTGTAACTTTATGGGCGTTAAAACGGCGAAAACTCCAATTTTTGAGGGTTAAAACGTATTGTTTTTAAGTTCTAGACTAATAGTGCGTTTTAACGCTCAAAAACTGAAATTTTCGCCGTTTTAACGCCCATTAAGTTACAAAAAACGCCAATAAACGCGTTTTCGTGCGTTTTTTTAATGAGCGTTAATGGATCATAGTCGCGGTTCCCGATTGTGCGTTTAAACGCGTTTTTCAAAATTTTTGTCTGACTGGGAACCAATAAAAGAATTTATTCCCATAGCTTTTGTAAATATATTTCAGCTTTCAACATTTTGTCTGAAAACTTTTTGATGATCTGTTATCTTAAGTCTACCGAAACTCATTCAGTGAATATTATACTTTCATATGTTCTAAGCACATCTATTTTATTTGAACTAAAAACTGTATAAAAGTAGGTGATTAAAAAAAATGTAATTGAGAGAGACACGCACACACGCTGACAGATGAAAAATGAGTTAATTATTATTGTTAGACAGTATCGTTTCAATCTAGAGGATAATTAACATATAAAAAAATAAATAAACCGAAAGAGAAATAGGTTTTAAAAAATGGTTTGCTTTTGCCCTATTTGTTTGTTGCCCAGCATCTTCATAGTTTAGCATACATTGCTGTAATTTAATATCAAATCGTTGGTAATATTGTCGTTGACATGAATAAAGTTTTTCTGAGCTAATTTTATTCAAGAATTCAGACAAAAATATGTCCGAGTTAGTTTCCGTACATATCGTGTAATTTGCTAGTCCGCTAACGTTTGGTAAATACGTGCCTGTATCGATCATACCTTGACCATAGAATTGATGAGAGTCAGCAGATAAAATATAAAGAGATTTAACTTTCTGTGTTCGAAGACAAAATCCTTGGCTATTGTTTGTTTGCATTTGTACCATGAGTTGGGCAGCACTATTGTCCCACCTATAAAAATGTACAGAAAATGATTAGTTGGCTTTTTTGTGCATCAGAAAATAAAACTTACCATTTCATGTTATGCTCAGTTGCATTTGTACATTTTGCAAATGAGGATATAAAGTTTAGTACGAAGGGTTTCACTTGAATATTCAGTTTTTTCAATGTTTCATTCAGTTGTGTTAGATTGACTGTGAGTGTATTTTGCGCGATCAATGGCATGGCAACAATATTTTTTATTCCACTCATCCCAATGCGTTGTAAAGCAAGTATATCTAAGTTTGAAACGTATGCATAGAATATGTGATAAGATTTAGATAAAAGTTCGAGTGAAAGAAAACTGACCACTCCAATATCAACTTACTTAATTTATCTAAATCGAAAATTCTTGGAGTACTCGATCTTTCGTCAAGCATATAAAATATTTTTCATGATTTTTTTTTCAAAACAAAAAATGATTTATGACACCCAGAACTCTGAAATTTAATAGCTCCTATAAATTAATTAGAGTCGAATGAGAAATGTGAAGTTTCAAATGTTCATTTTTTCTGTTCATATTTCATAAAATTTAATTTAAATTTTCTGTCATAGAAAAAGATATTAAAAACTAGATACTCACCCAAGTAAGCATTTGGACTACCGTCTGTCATTTCTTCACTAAGCGGGTGATCACCTACTGTCACATCTGGTACGAGAGATGGATATAGATTTATTGATTTGAATTGACCACCTTCAAAGAGAAATAATATCTTACAATATTTGTTGACAAAAGCATCTCAAATATGGAAGTATTCTCACCAGAAAAATATAGTGTGCCTATTTTTGATATAATTGATCGATCTTCACTAATAGCTGTAGCAATATTTGTCATAGTTCCCAGAACCAAAATATCAACTGGTACTTTTGAATATTTCAACGATAGTTTTATTAATTCAATCGCACTAAATGGAGATGGCTGAAGAAATATATTTGCTGACTGATTAAGACAAGTTGAACCCGTCATATATGAATCGATTGCATTTAGTAATGATGATGGAATTACATAGCCAGACGACAATAATGGAACACTGTAAAATAAAAGGAAAATAAGTAAGTCCATATCAATGGCACGTTTATACGATTTTTACTTCACTCCATAACCGACTCCAACACCATTTGAACAGCCAATCAAATCGAGAAAGGTGAGAACATTTGATCCCGAAAAAAATGGTTTGCTTAATAAAAAAAGAATAGAGGCAATATTCAATGAGTTTCAGCTAAACGTGGAACTACCTGTATCCATTGCCGACAGTTGTTATGGCAAGAACATCAACAGTTGGTACCTTTAGCGTCGATTATAATAAAGTCGTTTAAAATCTGATCCTTTTTGACATGTCTACTTACATTAAGAACATAGTGAATTGCCCATAAGTCATCTATGTCTGTGTCTGTATCGATAATTACTGGCTGTCGGTTAACATCCTGATTTATACAAAGTTGAACTTGCTGCTCCATGAGTGTCAATGGACGACCATAAACATAGCAGTTGTTGACAATTATTAAGAATACTAATGTTAACAAAATGCTTCGATCTGTCATTTGTTCTCTATATCACAAACACATCAAAGACTACAAGAAACATTGATCAAATGGTTATTTATCGAAGAATCTTCTTATGGTTAGAATATATTTTCAGAAAAAATTCTTTTTCAAGTGAAAACAAATGTGAAAAAAATATTCTAAACGGATATATCCAAGAGTATAACAGTTGTTATGAATTATGAAAAAATCTCGTGAACGATCGAAGTTATTAGTCTTCATTTATCACTGTATTCAGTCAGTAGAATATCTTTTCGTATTATTTCAATTTTTTACTTTTAATTAAAAGTATTTTTCTCAACTTAGCCGAACCTAATCTGCTGTACCCTGCATTCAGGAACTTTTTTCAGGCATAATAAATCTTCAAAATGTTTTATCATATCTAAAAATATTCAGTTTAGTTATATAACTAAATAACAAGAAAAAGAAAGAGATTATCTGAAATTACACAAGAAATGAAGAGAATCAATCGATTCATTATTCAGTTGTAGTCTTCCTCGTTGTATGATTCGGTTAGTATTACTGAGTGTACTTTTATTTCTCGATGATGTCACTGAAATTAAAAGCAATATTGGTGCTAAATATGGCAAGTATGAATATATATATATATAGCATGCACTGAAAAAAATTGCCATACGGGACCCAAAAAGGAATTCGAGAACTGACACGAACTCGAAAGCCTTTTTAAGTTTCGTAGCAAAAAAAGATTTCGTAACCAAATTTATCTCCCATGTCCTATATGCAATTATTCAGCCCATGCATATCCTCCTAATACCTATTTTTATTCATGTATAACAATGCCTAACTCATTATTTCTATGGCTAGTCCCTTAAATATATCCTTAACCCGTTATATCTATATCTGTCCTCTTACTCCTATATCTAATCCTTTATATCTATACTTAGCTCCCATATACATATATGCTTTATCACTTATTATTGTACTTAACTCTATATAACCGTTTCTATTGCCTAATTTGTATACCTAATGACTTATTCCTGTACTTATTCCATTATTGGTACACGCAACCTCTTATCCATACGCTTAACTCCAGAAAACTATGTATAAATCCGAATTTCGATATCGAATGCCTTATTTCTATAGCGGATGTGGGTGTGGGTGTGGTTATGAGCTTTGTTGTCAAAAAAGCCATACCCACATCCACACCGAAATTTCGCCAATAATACTTTCGCCAACAGGGCAATCGCCAGTTCTCGAACGTCATTGACTTTTCCAAATACATTTCAGATACTTTTGTCAGCACATCCTCTGGAACTTCGCTAACGTAAGAGTAAATGAAACATGTATGAAAAAAGTGTTTATTGACTACATTAGCGAGTGTAACCTATCATATATATCAAGGAGTTAGAGTGTGGGTGTGGATGAGTTCTCTGTCCACCCACACTCGACAGAGATCCCATATAATATCGAATTTTTAACTTTGTCCACCTAAAATCAATGCATAGATGAAAATTAGAAACAAAAGAAATATGATTGAGAAGATACATTAAGCATCGCAAGAAAAGATGAGAAAGAAGTACCACTTCATAGCATAGGAAACGTCTTTATATATACGTACACAGTGCAAAGGAAGTTGGCAAGAGAAAGATGAGCGCAGATGGTAAAGAAAAGAATTCATAGTGAACAAAAAATTAAAGAATACTTACGGCTCCTACAATGGTAATGATAGGGACCGGAAGAATCGAACATCTTCTTTATGTTACTAGTTGAAGACACAAGAAAAGCAACGAAAAAGAAAATTGCAGAGCGAGAGAGAGACAATATGTACACAGAACGTGTAACATGCTGTATGACCAACAAGGTAAGAAGAAAACTTGTACAATTCTCGTTTTCTATGCTTTCAAGTCTTCCCATGAATTTTTAAATTTCATTTAGATTATAGAGCAAGTAAAATTATAACCCTATGCTTCAAATCATAGGTAGGGTGTTGACTGAGCAAAAGTTGAATAATCTTGGAAAGGGGTGATAGCGAAACACTTCACTCTATTTCCATTAGAAGTATCAACTCATGCATTCTCCATAGACTTCGACTCTATGAGCGCTCGAATGAACAACTTTGATATAGGCGTATTCTAACGATATTAGCTTCAACCCTCGCATGTGTTATATATTAAAATTGTTTCGTGACAACTGGAGAAAGTCAACTATACTTTCGTGAAAACCCCATGTGCCTTCATCATTGGGGAATGTTCTATTGAGAAAAACTTTATCGGTGGAGTTCTAGAACCTCTATCTACACCTACCCAACTATGATCTGACGTTCAGTCACATCAATAAATTAATTGTCTGGAGTCTCGAAGTTCAGAAACTCGATAGGTTGACAGATGCATAGCAAAACTTTCTGATAGACTCAGCACTAAAAACGAGAAGTCTTCGAGTTACTGAATTTAAGTCACACAGAAGCCTCATTGTTCAATCTTCCTCAATCAACCAGAGTGTAGACAAAAATATAAGCATGTGCTGGCTCATCCGCATAAGATTAACAATAGTGTTTAAAGCCACAGAAGCATCAAATTACAAGATCTCTTTCATGAATGCCTTGTTGGTGGAACTTTCTATGCAAAATTCAATTTCTATTGGCGTCTGACTTGCCAATAGTATTTCTAAGAAAATCGAGCTCAGATTCATACTGCCCATCTCGAATTACCTCTAGCAGACCTAATTTTCGAAAAAGTTCATTTCCATTAACTCTTGACCCACTAATATAGTTCCGAAAAAAATGCAGTTCAAATAGAGGTTTCTCGCCGCCGGAACCACTTGTGAACTATCACGGAACCTTGAAAAGTCGCTTCTGTGACTGAGAAAAATGATTTTAATTTTCAACTTATCAGAGTATGGACAAAAAAGACCAGAAAGTTCCACTCTGCAAGCTTATCGTTTTAGTATTAACAGTAATTTCATTTTGGTGTTTGACAATGTGAAGTATAGAAATATGCTTTTGCTTTTATTTATATGAAAAATAATATTTTAAAGATACAAAAAGAGACTTTACAGAAACGGTCTTATAGCCAAGTCACATAGTTTTGTGAGTTCATCTAGCAAACCCAAACCTATTTAGACTAAATCCAAACCCCCAAATGGTTTCGGTTTAAGTTGGGACTTAGTGCATGACTAGGTGGAAATGTCTTGTTGAAGAATAGAGAAACACCCACACCCACAGCCCCACCCACATTAGCATTGTATTGGATGTAGAATCCAACTTCGACTACGAAAACCCTGTTTTAAAACGGAAGAAAAAAGACTTAGTAGGAAACTTGCAAAAACTGTTTCGAATTCGTTTCAGTTCTTAAAACTTTTTTTAGGCTTGAGACTGTACTTTTTTCTTTAGTGTCGGATACAAAATAGTATTCTACAACTAAAATTAATTGCATCAACTTGACTACATTCTCACAGCAAATTCAGTTTGCTAAGCATTCATTTACGGTTCAAATAATGTGCAAACATGGGTTCTTCAAGAATACCTCAAAGATGGATATAAGTGTGTGTAACACATCGTTTATAGTCGATAGGCAGTTCGCTCATGACCAGGATAATTTACGAGCCATATTTCTGTGCTCGATAATTTGGTTCAATACGCATCCAAATGGTTCATATATACATCATTTACTGATGTTAAGATAACGTTTTTCATCGTTTAAATTTCAAAAATGTACCGAAAATGGATTCTTTTCGATCGACGTGAGTAATCATTATCAAATGCTTTAACCATTGATACTTATTCCGTTGAAATTCTCTCAAGTTCTTATATAAAATAAAATAATAAAAATGGTGATACTCACGATACTTTTACCTATGTATCCAGCGTTTAGTTCTTTTTAGGTATTATTTTCATTCGTTAACAAGACACTTCTCTTACAGGCAAGTTTTTTTCTACTTGCTTAGTTATTCTGTTATTGCACATTTTATATAAACAATATTTTAATCACGAAATCGATAACATCATTTTAGTCTTGTAAACAATTTTTATCATTATACATCAATCTAATGGACATTTTATGTGCATATGTACAAACATGTTTGAAAAGTGTATAAAGCCAAGGGGAGAGTAATTACATTGAAGAAAAAAACGCATTTTGATATTGCAGTCGTAACGTTTTTTTTCTTTTCTTTTTCTGTCATGAATATGGTTTGATTTTTTTGTGCTCACTTTTGACATTTGATGATGAGATACAGATTCAAAAAACAAGTAAGGGCAGGTTAATTAGAAAAACGGTGAAGGTATATTTTTTAACATGAAAATTTGTACTAAGAAGAAATAATGCAAACAACTGAGTTGTCTGTCATTAGAAAATGTTTAATTAAAACAAGAAAAAGAACTGAAATTTTCATGATAGGCTAAAAATGCTTGTCTTGCGGCTGAAATCTGTCGTATAGTTGTGTTAATCATTATCACTCTGGGTAAAATGTCAACGAATGTGAATAAAATCTTAAACACCAACTGTGCGAATCTTTTCCTTTTCAAGTGGATATTCTTCTACGTGGATAAAAAACGAGCCGATATCAGTTGAAATATTTAGCAATTTCGTAATTTTCACTAGAATATTGGGAACGCTTTTCGAGAGTATTTCCATGAAATATTGAAAACCTTATAAAAATATGGCACAATTATATGTTCTTTATGAAAACTTCCCTCGCGTGTAAAATAAAATGCACATGATATATGAATCATCGATCGGTTTAATGATGTTATTGATTATCTCAGTGATGGACTATTACACTAAATTATGTTTCAATCGACAATGCAAATAGTGAGGGAGGTACAGATTGATTGACCAATTATTTGATATCTTGGTAGATAAGACACAATATATTGATGCTACGGAACGACTTGCACATAATTGGTTTAACCAGATCTTTTTCTTACCTTTTGGCTCATATAGAGTAAACTATTCGATTTATAATTGAAAAATGCGTTTATTGTCTAGTTTTCAAAAATCTATGCTCCATTGTTCATTATCCAGGTATATATCGATGATGGA